AAGTAATTGCATTGTACTATAAATTAGTCAAATTTTACGCGCAACTGATTAGGTTTTATTATTAATTACTTAAATTTTCCTTGTAATTAGATTTTACTATATAAATATATATATAGATTTTACTATAGATTTACTATTTATTTTACTATAGATTTTACTATTTTACTATATACTATATTTTACTATTTTACTATTTTACTATATTTTACTATACTTTAGATTTTACTATAAATTAGTAAAATTTTATACACTATAATCTGGTTGAATTTCACTATGAACTAGTTCAAGTTCACTAAAAAATAGTTTAATTTTACTTTCGTTTAGTTGAATACTAGTAGTTAAAAATTAGATTTTACTATAAATTAGTTAAATTTTACTATAAGAACTTTTTATATTTTACTAAAAATTAGTTAAACTTTACTACAAGTTTATTGAATTTTAGGTACTATAAGCTTCTTTAACTTTACTATCAATTAGTTAAATTTTTGTGGACTAATTAAATTTTACTATAAACTTACAAAGTAGTTAAATTTTACTACCAACTAGTTAAAAAGTTTACTATATATAAAAATACTTATATTTTACTATCAATTGTCAATTAGAATTTTAGGGGAAACTAATTTAACTTTAAAATCAGTTACTAAAAATTTGTACATTAAATTATTTCGATTTTACTATAAATTAGTTAAATTTTACTATAATTTAGTTGAATTTTATTAGAAGCTAATTTAAATTTATTAAATCAATTAGTTACTTTACTAGTAGCTGATATGATTTTACTATAAATCAATCGAATTTCACGAGTATCCAATTGGAATTTACTATATAAATTAGTCAATGTTTTTATTAAATTTTATTAAATATTATTCTGGATTGTTTGATATTAAAGTATGAGTTGTCGAGAAATGTGATTTTTTTACAATTTTGACAATTTCGTGTTTTTTCTTTTTGGCTTTTTTTTCTAAAATTTCATGCGACTTTTTTCCGACTTTTTGGAAATTTTATGCGACTTTTCGTGAATTTTGTTGTGATTTTGTTTATGAATGCGACTAAAGCAACTTTTTTTGAGTCTTAAAGACGATCCGAGCCCTGAAAATTTAAATACCTCGCATATAATAAAATTTAAGTTATCTCCACCAAAAAAAAACTCTGTTATTGATTCCAGTTAATTAAAAAATTTTACTAATTAAAATTTAGAGAGAGAGAGAGAGAGATAGAGGATAAAAATGCACCCTCCATCTCCCCCCTCCACCCCAGGGGATTATTTTGATTTCTTTATTATAAACACTTGATTATAATAGAAATAACTTTGGCGAGGCCGGAAAAAGAGTTCGTTTTGGTTTATCGGTTTTGACAGAGGTCTATTGAAAACGTTAATAGCAGCCAAGCCCCTGAAAGTGAGATTCAAGTTTACGTAAGCCAGAATGAAGTGAAAACAATGAAAACAATAGACATGGAACGTCAAACAAAATCTATGTAAACTAAAAGGGGACTGACAACGTTGTACAAAACTAGAACGATTCATCCAACATCTGTTCACGTAATCCCAACATGTTAGACAAATCCGTAATAGATAAGGTGCGTCCACGATTCGACAGATGCACTCTCACTCACTCACTCACTTTTTTCACTCTTTAGTTTCAAATTTTTAATAATTTAAAAATTTTAATTTAATTTTTAATTTTTAATATCCAAATAAAGAAGAAAAAAATAAAAACTAGAAACTATTATCTTGCCCAGCAGGAAAATTATAACAAAAAGAAAAATTGTAGATAAACCATAACACACCCAATTAAAAAAAAAATCATTAAAATACGATCACTTTTCATAATTTCTGCAATGGTCCATTCACACAATTTTTTATAATGAGAGACGCGGTAATCGAAAAGATTCGATAATTTGACACGTCAACTAATACTGATCATTTGCAACATGAATTTTTGAATAGTCAATATTTTATTTTTGCAAGTCGACGTTCACACAATAAGCTAACGAGGGGTCCATCAGCCTTTTCTCGCAGCATGCTCATTGACATGCCTTCAAACACTAAAAGGCACGACCTTGCGTGTGAGTGTATGTAATTATATTGTACACGATTTCTGAACTTTCGATCCTTGACGACCATAAATCTTGGAGACCTCAACGCCAATCATCTCATTCTTTTCGCCTCTCTCCCTCCCTCCTTCTCCATATACTTCAATCAAATAAATTGCCAACAAAGCGTGAGGAAATTCGAATATGAATAAAAAATAAATATTCTCACATTAAACAAAGTGATACAAAATATTTTATAGTTCAATACTAAACTATTTTCTATTTTTCAATAAAATTTTTTTAATTCACAGTTTTTCTAAGGGTATCAAAATTAATTTTTTTTTTACTGTAAAGAATTAAATTTTACTAGTATTTTAGTAATAAGTATTTACAAATTTCTTTCAAATCTTTCGAAAACGCCAATGAAATTCTTCGCATAAATTCAATTATGTTCAAAAATTTTTTAAAAATTCTCATTAAAATTTTAATTATCTTTATGAATAATAGAATTCTCAGAAATTCTCAGAAATTCAATTATTTTCAAAAAAATTTAATAAAATTCTTGGCAAAATTTCAATTATTTTCAAAAATTTTCCTCATTTCAATTATTTATAATATCTATTATTTTAATAAAATTTTCCTAAAGAATTCAATTATTTAAACAAAATATTATTTAAAATTTAACAAGAATTCAATCATTTATCAATTTTTTATAAAATTCTTCGCACCAATTCAATTATTTTTAATTTTTTAATGAAGTTTCTCGAAGAAATTCAATTATATTCAAAGAATTGAAAAAAATAGTTCTGAGAAATTCAATTATTTCGAAAAATTTAAATAAAAATCTTTTAAAAATTCTATTATTTAAAAAAATGTTGACAAAATTCTTTACAAGATTTATTTAACAAAATTGTAATTTTAATAAAAAATTTCCTATATAATTAAATTATTTTCAAAACAATTCTTCTTAAGAATTCAATTATTTAAAAAAAATTTAATAAAATTCTTCGCAAGAAATCAATCATCTTCATAAATAATAAAACCTTTCTCGAGAATTTAATTATTTGAAAAAGTTTTGATAAAATTCTTTATGAATTTGAAAAATTATAATACAATTATTTTCATAAAATGTAACATTTTTCCTGGGAATACAATTATTGTCAAAAATGTTTGTAAAAATCTTCAAAATAGTACAATTATTTTCGTTAGAAATAATTCTTTGAAGCAATTCAATTATGTAAAAAATGTTAATAAAATTCTTCCAAAGAATTCATTTGTTTTCAAAAATAAACATTTTTACAGGAATTAAATTATTTACAAAAAAAATAAATAAAATTCTTCGTCATATTTCAATTATTTTCAATTTTTTAATGAAATTTTACCATGGAATTTAATTATTCTCATAAATAATTCTTCTCCGAAAATCAATTATTTTAAAAAAATTTTAATAAAATTCTTGTCAACATTTCAATTATCTTTACAAATATCGAAATTCTTCTGCAAAATTCAATTACTTTTAAAAATTTTTTTATAAAAATCTGATTAAAATTTCAATTATCTTTTTAAATAATAAAATTCTTCTCTGAAATTCAATTATTTTCAATTTTTTCTAAATTTCTCGTCAAAATTATCATTATTTTCATATATAATAAAATTCATCATGGAAATTTAATTACTTTCAAAAGTTCTAATAAAATTCTTTGCAAAATTCCATTTTCTTCAAAAGTAAGAAAATTCTTCGCAGAAATTCAATTATTTTCCAACAATTTTTTTTAATTCTCCTCAAAATTTCAATTATAAATATAAATATCAAAATTTTTCTGCAAAATTTAATTACTTTTAAAATTTTTTTTTTAAATCTGTTCAAAATTTCAAATATCTTTATAAATAATAAAATTCTTCTCTGAAATTCAATTATTTGCAAAGAATTTTAATAAAATTCTTGTCAAAATTTCAAAATTGTCAAATCAAAATTCTTCTACAAAATTCAATTACTTTTAAAAATTGTTTAAAAAATCTGTTCAAAATTTCAATTATCTTTATAAATAATTAAATTCTTCTCTGAAATTCAATTATTTGCAAAGAATTTAAAAAAAATTCTTGTCAAAATTTCAATTATCTTTATAAATAATAAAATTCATCCTAAAAATTCAATTTGTTTTTACATTTCTCATCAAAATTTTAATTATCTTCATAAATAATAAAATTCATCTAGGAAATTTAATTATTTTCAAAAGTCCTGTTAAGATGCTTTGCAAAATTCAATTATTTTCAAAAGTAAGAAAATTCTTCGCAGGAATTCAATTATTTTCAAAATTTTTTTTTGAAAATTCTCCTCACAATTTCAATTATCTTTATAAATATCAAAATTCTTTTGCAAAATTCAATTACTTTTAAAAATTTGTTAAAAATTTCAATTATTTTTATAAATAATAAAATTTTTCTCTAAAATTCAATTATTTGCAAACAATTTTAATAAAATTCGTGTCAATATTTCAATTACCTTTATAAATAATAAAATTCATTCTAGAAATTCAATTATTTTCAATTTTTTAAATTTATCGTGAAAATTTATCATTATCTTCAAAAGTATAAAAATTGTTCGCAGAAATTCAATTATTTTTTAAAAAAAATTTTTTTTTAATTCTCCTCAAAATTTCAATTATTTTTGTAAGTAGCAAAATTTTTCTACAAAATTCAATTACTTATACTAATGTTTTATAAATTTCTTCCCAATAATTAAATTATTTTTATAAAAAGGAATTAAAAAACATCTTTTTTATAAAGTCTTATAATATAAAATAAGAATTTTATCACTCGGTCATGTTTTATAACAATAACAATTTTTTATAAGTTGTGTAATTTTAAAATGGTTTAAATTTGAATCTTTTGAAGAATTTATATTTTCTGTGGAAAAATAATAATAATGATGAAAAATTAATGAGAAATAATTATTTTTGTTGCAGGAATGGCTGGAGGAATGGGTCAACCAGGAATGAGTTCGTATTATGGACCAGCCGCATATGGTTCTCTTTCAGCGGCCAGTATGGCAGCCGCTGCGGCTGCAGCAGCACAACAATCAGCTGCAGCAATGTCTGGACTCGGAGCGCCATCGCAGGTGAGTTTTCATAAAAAATTATTCACCAATTTTTTTTCTATTCTAAATATAATCACCCATAGTAAAATAAAGAATGTAAAAATTACTATGTAGTTTACTAAAAAGTCAACTCATTAATTTTTTAACTAAGCAGTCGACAAAGTAATTAATTTACTAAGCAGCAAACTATTAAGTTTGTTAATGAGTTAATGGATTAATTAGTATACTAATTATTCAATCAAGTGATTTCTTCACTGAACAGTTTAATTTGAATCCCTTTTATTTAAATTATCTTTTTATTTAGTGAACTTTTTTTAATTCTATTTGTTTTTTTTTTTCGTCAACTTATTTATACTCTTAACTAATAATTTTAAATTAGCAAAAAAGACAATAGAAAAAATGAGAATAAAAAAAAAGATAATGAGAAATTTATATAATATTCGTATTCAAGAATATTACTGTACTCTGTATACATCCAACGGGAAATAAATAGCTCTATATTTGTGTTTTTGTCTTTTTGCAAAAGACAAAATGACTCAGTAACAGACATCCTTTATTTTACACATGAAAGAAAGCCAGATATGTATAATTATCTGTGTGTCATCATCACGTATAGTTCACGAACAAAACGCACTTCGTCCGATACATCACAACAGGTTCCGCACATTTCCGCTCTAGCTTTGTCTCCTCTGATACATTTATCAACTCAATGATAATTTCATAAAACAAAATCATTAGAAAAAAGCCTCATATACCTAAATTAGGTATGTAAACATAAAACATAAAAATTTAGTAAAACAAAAATTCTCCAACATAAATAGTAAAATAAAAATTCTCTAACATGAAAATTTGATAAAACAAAAATTCTCCAACATAAAAATTTGGTAAAACAAAAATTCTCCAACATGAAAGTTTACTAAAATAAAAATTCTCTAACATAAAAATTTGGTAAAACAAAAATTCTCCAACATGAAAGTTTACTAAAATAAAAATTCTCTAACATAAAAATTTAGTAAAACAAAAATTCTGTAACATAAAAAAGTGTCAAAATAAAAATTCCTTTCCATAATAATGCGGCTAAATGTACAAATAATTTCGGTCAAATAACAATTCCAAACCCAAATCACCGACTATTGAATATTATTAAAAAAAAATACGCATTGTCCCTTATTTTCGTCCCTTCTCCTGATAAATTTATCAGCACTTGAAAAATTGCTCCTAAGAATAAGAGAATCGACATTTTTTCTTAAGAAAAAAATAATAAAAAGAACAAAGCAGGTTGAGAGACATTTATTTTATATTCTCAGTCTGAAGCGAGACTGTTGTCCTTTATTGTTCGCATATGTGGCGTGACATATATTTAAAGGCGCGAGAAAAATTCCATGCATCTGGCATCATCGGTTTCCGAAACAAAACTTAATTAACGGACAACTCGACCTGGCAGTCGAGAGAGAGAGAGAGAGAGAGACGGGGGGGGGGGAGAAAACTACAATGGAATCACCCCAGCCTGCTGCGTTTTCGTCTACAAAGCACGTATACACTTCGTTGTGTGTTGGTCCCAGAGAATGCACATTTTGCTTTTCATCCCAAGAGTTGCATGTTTTTGCATACCCAGGCGCGAAAGACCAATGCTGACGATGGATTGAAGATTTATTGAGCCTTGAACGCCCAGTCTGGGTAACCCAGTGTTGAAGCAGTCTTTATACCACTGTCACTCAATGTTGATTCAGCATTGGACACCAATGTTCGTTCCATGCTCGATTCAAGACTCGGTCAATCTTCGTGAGTGAAGCTCGAACATCTGATCTTAATTCAAGCCTGAATCAATCTTGACAGTTTATTTATTGACGTGTGCACTTAAAAATATTAAATATAAATATTTATAAATTAATTAATATTAAAATATTTTTTATGATAATTTTGTATACTATTTAAAAATTATTATTATTATTAAGATATCAAGTGGTAAATAAATATTAATATTTATTTAGTGTATAATATTTATATTAATTATTAATTTATTAATAATAATAATAATAATAATAATAATAATAATAATAATAATAATTATTATTATTATATTATTTATTATTAGATATTATTAATTATATAAGATTCATATAAATAAAGTTAAATTATATATTTTTTTTTCTTGCTCAGTGTCAAATTATTGTTTTCAAAGTCCAAGAGTTTCGTTTGTCTGAAAAATTTTCAGTAAAAAAATGTTCATTAGTGTGTAATAAATATTTATGCCTAGTAGTTGTACACTAGGATCAACTGTTTAGTAAATATTATCAAAAAACTATTTTTTGTCAAACGCGTGCGACTAAATGCAAATAACCTTGAGACTTTAGCATTGCCAACTCAAGAGTTGAGTTGGTAATGCTGGAGTTTCAAGGTTATTTGTGTTTAGCTGCGCGTGTTTGCTAAAAAATATTTTTTTGATAATATTTACTAAACAGTTAATCCTAGTGTAAAAACTACTAAGCATAAATATTTATCACTACCTAATGAACATTTTTTTCACTAATAATTTTTCAGATAAACAGTCATAATTTTTCAAAGATAAATATCTTTGAAAATAATAATTTGACACTGTACAAGAAAAAAAATAATATATATAATTTAACTTATAAAATTATCATAAAAAATATTTTAATATTAAATAATTTATAAATATTTATATTTAATATTGTTCAGTGCACACGGTAATAAAGAAAGTGAATACTGTATCAAGACTGACCGAGTCTTGAATCGAGCATGGGACGAACATTGGTGTCCCATGCTCAACAAATATTGAGTGACGCGCCGTATATACGGCGCTGGCATTGAAATAGGAGATTAGGCGAGGTGCCTTCCAGCCTTCTGTGGCCGAGCGGTTTAAATGCGTGCGTTGAGAACTTCCGGTATGCGTTAGGGGCGCGGGGTACGTGAGTTTCGATCCCACATGCGAGCGAATATTTTTCATTCTTTGTTTTAAGCGTTTATATATAATAATAAACTTGTGTGTTGTGTTGTGAATAAAAAATGTGAATATGTTTGTAAATAATATTAAAAAGTCTGCTGAAAAATCGAGAAAAAAATGTACCGATTAACAGAAAAATTGTTTTCTTTTACTAAAATTATTTTTTTAATATTACTATTTCAAATGACATTTACTGTTAGTAATATATTATTTATATGAAAATAATATAATTATTATAATAGTAACTTAATGCCATTAAATTAACAAACGCATATAATATGAATAAAAATAATAACAATAATATTCATTACTATTATAATAATAATTATTATTATTATTAATATTATATACAATTCATATATTCGTATTATATTGAATGGGCGCGAGAGACGCGTAAATTTGGGAACAGTGGAAGCAGCCTTGTTTCAGTCCTGCATTAGGGTTCCGCAGCATTGATTGAACATTGAACGCGAATCTTCAACAAGGACTGGAGCGTCAGTCTTAAATAAGTGTTACATTATAGCTAGAAACAACCTTCGTTCCGCCGTCCCACCAAGGCTTGATCAATGTTGACCAAGCCTCAACGAAGGTTCCGTAAAGCCTGAATCCACCGTCAGTTCTCACCTGGGTATATGTACATCTGGTGAAGAAGAAAAATCTTCTCTTTCTAAATTTTGAATATTTTCTTTTTCCTTTTCACTATTTCCGAAACATAATGTCGCACTACTTGAGAATTTTGAGAATTTTCTCCGGTTCTATTCACTATTATTATTCGTAGGTATATATTTTTCTAAAGTCAACAAAAAATTCTATACATTTTCACTATACAATAATTCACTGAAAAAAAAAAATTTATTCTATTCAAGTAAATATTTAATTGATAATAGACAAGTAATCGATTATTGGAATAAAATGAATTTTTTTTTAGTGTTCAATAGAATTTCTGAATTTATCAACTGACCTACCATCTAACGGTGACCTTGATGTTCGCAGGTGGATATTAGAAAATTCTACTAGAATTCAATTATTTAAATACAAATAAAATGCAAATAAATAATTTATTCAAATAATTGAATGTTTCTAATTCAATTCCCATAAAGAATAGTTATCAACAAATTTTCAAATAATTGAATTCTATCAACGAATTTTAATAAAATTTTTTAAGAATAATTACATTTTTCGAGAAATTTGATTAAAATTTATTGTATTAAAAATAATTGAAATTCTGCGATGAGTTTTATTATTTATGAAAATAATTGAATCCGTAAGAAGAATTTTATTACTTTTGAATAATATTTAATTTTTGCGAAGAATATTATTACTCTTGAAAATAATTGAATTTCTGCAATAATTTGTAACTTTTACAAAATTGAATTTTTTTTTCGGGTTTTTAACTAAACATTTTATATACATACAATATTTTTAATTATTTTTGAAAAAGTTCTTTAAGAATTTACAAATATTCATTTGTTTACAATTCAATTTTACAAAATTTCAATTGTTCGTAAATTCTTCAATTAAATATTTATTAGAAAGTAAAAACTTTAAATAATTTCAAGAAAAAAATCAGTAATTAAAGTTTCTCAAAAAAATTAAATCCACTGAATTGTTAGTTAAAAATATGAAAAATTCAAATTTTCAAAGATTTTAATCTGAAACCTTTTTAAAATTCAATAATTTCTTAAAAATTTACGCTCTAATGCTTTTAAAATTGAATTATAATCTAAAATTTTAACTGAAATCCATTTTTAAATCAATGTTTATAAGAAAATTCTATTAAAATTCAATTATTTAAATACAAAAATAACAATTTATTGAATAATTGCATGTTTCTTAAAATTGAATTCTCATAAAGAATTTAATGTATAAATTTTTAAATAACTGAATTCTTTTCACTAACTTTAATAAAATTTTTTTAAAAATTTTCGAGGAATTCGATTAAAATTGTATTTAAATACAAAAATAAATCATTTATTAAATAATTGAATATTTCTTAAAATTAAATTTTTATAAAGAATTTTATCAAAAATTTTTAAAAATAATTCAATCGGCGAATTTAAAAAAAAATTTAAGAATAAATGCAATTTTCTATCATTTTATTTAAAATTGCACAAAAAATAATTGAAATTCTGAGATAAGTTTTGTTATTTATGAAAATAATTGAATTCCTGAGAAAAATATTATTATTTATAGAAATAATTAATTTCTTGTGAAGAATGTTATTCAAATTTTTTTAAATAATTGAATTCCCATAAAAAATATATTATTTGTGAAAATAATTGAATTCTCAAGAAGAATTGTATTGAAAATAATTGAATTATATGGAAATATTTTATTAAAGTTGCAATTTTATTAACTAAATCTTGTAAAGAATTTTGTCAACATTTTTTTAAATAATAGAATTTTTAAAAGAAGTTTATTTAAATTTTTCCAAATAATTGAATATCTCAGAACTATTTTCTGTAATGTTCTGAATATATTTGAATTCCTTCGAGAAACTTCATTTAAAAATTAAAAATAATTGAATTGGTGCGAAGAAATTTATAAAAAATTGATAAGTAATTGAATTCCTGTGAAATTTGTATTAATATTTTGTTTAAATAATTGAATTCTTTTGAAAAATTATATTAGAATAGTAGATATTATAAATATTGAAATGAGAAAAATTTTTGAAAATAATTGATATTTTGACAAGAATTTTATTAAATTTTTTTTTTTTTGAAAATTATTGAATTTCGAAGAAGAATTTTATTATTTATAAAGATAATTGAAATTTTTAATATTTTTGTGAGAATTTTTGAACATAATTGAATTTCTGCGAAGAATTTTATTACTTTTGAAAATAATTGAATTTATGCAATCATTTATTGTAATTCATTTTTAAATTCTTCATCCTTTATTTTCAATTCCACTACATAGTGGAATAAACAAAAAAGAATTGGAGAAAATTTTCAAAGTTGAGATACATCTCAACTTTGAAAATATCCTCCAATTCTTTTTTTGTTTATCATTTTAATTATTCTCCGTCTTTTATTGTACACATTTTTTTTGCCATGGCTTCGGAGAAAAATCAAAAACCACAAATTAAATTCGCAGCAGTTGCAAATTCCAAAAGACAGGGTCAAGATTTTGGAGTAGTAGTAGTAGTAGTTGTAGGAGCGAGGAATAATCAATTGGCAGAGAGAAGAGAACGATGACCGAAGGAGGCTAAGACTTGTGTAAATCATCGTGGACAAAGCCGCTTAACGATCCGACAAAGGGGTTTCGCGGCCTCGCCACGAATTATAGAATTAGGAATAACGCGTCGTGTCGTTTTGTTGTTTCTGTATCGAAATTTATGGGAATTGGCACCTTTATATCTCCGATCGTTGATGCAGAATTTTTTTTGTTTGCAATTTTTTTTTTTTCATTTTCTCTTATTGAGCGTCAGACCGCGACCGGAGATTCGCTACTCTCTCTCTGTCTCTCAATTTCTTTCTCTATTTCTCTCTATCTCTCAATTGCTCTCCCTATCACTCTCTATCTTTCAATTTTTTTCTCTATTTCTCTCTATTTCCTATATTCTGTCTCTTTTTCTTACTTTTTTTCTTTATCTCTCAATTTCTTTCTCTATTTCCTATATTCTCTCTTTTTCTCTCTTTTTTTCTTATTGTCTCTTTTTCTTAATTTCTCTCTCTATCTTTCAATTTCTTTCTCTATTTTCCAATTTCTGTCTCTTTCTCTTAATTTCTCTCAATTCCTCTCTCTCTCTAGTTTTCTCCCTTTCTTTCTATTTTTTCTCTCTTTATATAGAGAAATAAAGCTCTTTATCTCCGTTTCTCTATAAAGAGATAAAGATCTCTCTTCTCTGTCTTTCTTTATAGAGAGAGATTTTTTCTCAAACTAAATCTTCGCGTATATTATAGTGCGAATAATAATAGAGAGAAATCGAGAGATAGAGAGAGAGACAGAAAAAGAGAAAGAGCGAGACTCAGAAGCTTAGAATCGACCTCGGTTTATAATTAACTGCGTGACCAACAGAGTTCGGTAGCCGACGGATTCGCAGCATGGGGCAAGTTAATTATCGCGATAAAAGGTCTGCAGGTGTTGCCCGGAAATCTCCCTCTCTCTCTCTCCATTATTTGGTATCGTTTTCTTCTCGATAGGTGCGTACTTGTCTTTTATCTCCCCCCCTCTCTCTTTCTCTTTGGATCAGTAAAATAGTCGATGATCCATTTAAGAAAAAAAATTTTGATTAAACTTTAAACCCTGGGTGCGTGACACCCAGAGACACCCAGGGGCTTTAAAGTGTCTTCTGAATATTGAAATCGGTCAAACATTTCAAAAAACAAAAGCTAAGTTTAAGTATGGACAGAACGGACAGAATACGATGATTATTATAATTAATCAATAATTAATTGTTCATTTATTTTTTGTTAATTTAAATTTTTGATTTCTATTGTTCCAGGTCGTGAGCTCCATGGACGCAATGAAGTACTCAATGGAGGCGGACAAATATCGAGCCTACATGCCACCCAGTACACTTGCAATGAGCATGTACTCGGATCCAAAATATTTGGACTCGAGTCCAAAGTCATATCTCGATCGTAGTTATTTGGATTCGGCGAAAGCATATTTTGAACAATCGAAATTGTACATGGATCAGAAGCCAAGTATCTCTGAATATAACCGTCCAAGTTATGAGCCGAATAAAATTTACGATGAATCGAGTCCTGGCGGTGGTGGTGGCGGTGGATCAATGAGTAGATCACCCGCGGCCGATTCGCCCGATAATAATAAGCACGCGAACGACGGAAGAACGGATCAGGGTTCATCGAGTGCAAGTTCAACGTCAAATTCATCGGCCGCGAGTCCCGGCGCTAATAGTCTGCCTGCCTATTATCCGGGACCAGTTCAAGCCGGTGGATTATTGGCACCGCAAATGGGACAGTACGCCGGCTATCAAACATCGCCAGCGCCTGGAAATGAATTCCGTCGGCCATTAACCGTCATCTTCTGACCCGATAGAGTCTAGCTTTAATCTCTTTTTTTTTTGGCAGAAAAAGAAAAACATTGTCGTCGTCGTCGTCATCATCATTATTTGGTGTATTAATTTTCAAGTATTATATTATACGCCTAGCCAATTTACGGGCTTCCGCTTTTTTGGTCTTGAAATTATTCTTTAGTTTTCGGTTTTAAAAAAAAATTCTACGTTTTTTGTTACCAGTTATTTTGGTATTTTCGTTGTTTTTTGTTACTTTTGGTATAGAAAATTCTTTTTTCTGACATTTTTTCACCATGCTGAGAATTTTTGCTTTGAAGGAATATTTTGAAGACAAAAGAACACCGTCTGGGATATAAGAGTCAAGGGGAAAAAAACTGGTTCGTAAAAAATTATATTTTCGTAAAGATGAAGAAATATTTATTTCATTTTTATGCGAAAGGTAAAAAACGAAATCGAAAAATTAATAATTTTTCAAACCGAATAGATTTCGTTTTTAACTTATTATTTATTTTCTGCCAATACTTCGCATGAGGATATACTTTCCGAACTGATGCAAGTGGTGAAAATTTATTCAATATTTAATTCTTTAATTTTCTATATTAAAATATATTTATATTATTAAATAATAAAAAATTCATTAATATTGGAGAATTTCTTTTTATGATTTAATTGACTAATGTCAAAATAAAAATTACTTGTAGGAAATTTTTGTTTCTTTAATAAAAATTATTTGAATATTAATTAATTAATTCTAAAAATATTAAAAATAAGAGTAATACAAAAAATAATTAGTTTCCGAATTTTTGAATTTTACATTTTGGGAAAAATACTCAAAAAAGAAATTAAGTCATTAATTTCTCGAATATTTTTCCAATCTAATAAAGTGAAATGTATTTTTTAAAAAAATTTCATTTTACAAGCTTGGTTTACAAAATTAAATCCCAATTTTTTAAAAATAAATTTTCTCATTTAAAACTCATTAGTAATTATTAATTATTAATTATTAATTGAATCAAAATTACAATTTACTCTCGCATCAGTGAAGAAAAAAAATCGGCGAAAAATAATTGAAAGTCAAAAACAGCGAAAAGAAGAAATTTTTGCAACGAAACAACATGATTTGTGATATTTAAATAATTTTTAAATAAAAAAAAGTTTTACTTTTTTCATAAAAAATTTTTTTTTCATCATTAAAAAATTAAATAAATTCAAGTAAAGAAATCAAGGCACAATTATTGAAAGAAATTTTACATTCCTCCTTAGTTAACATTTCAAGACCATAGCGATTCAAAAGCCTTTTTTTTTGAAGACTTGTGATTTTCATTTTCGTGGAGAGAAAAAAATGTTGAAAGTCCGTGATCTTTGTTAAAAGTATTATATATAAAAAGAAAGATGTACATAGCTCTTATGTAAATAGTAACAATCTCGTGTTCCGTATTTCAAAGGAAATGTATAAATAAAAAAAATTACATCCCTTGATTCGAAAAAAAAACTCGAGTTTATAGCTAACTATGAGACCACAGACAATGATTTTTTTTTCTCAAATGATTTTCCCCTTAAAAATTATTTTTTACATTGAAAAAATAGGAAAACTTTTTCATTTTCCAAAAAGAAATTATTCCTGTTGAAAGTTTATTTCAAAATTTTATTCTAGTAATTTTTATTCAGTTTTGCAATCTATCAAAAAATCAAGATCGAGGCAAAACTGTTATTTATGAAAAAAAATTTAAAAAGGTGATAGTGATAATTAATGACAGAAAAATTTTTTTCTCTGTTTATTTATTAGAGAATAGAAAAGAATCCTTTTCTGTGGTACAAAGTTGTCACGTCGTTGTAAATAGATCATAATAATTATTAGTTTCTTTATTAAGAGTCCTGTAAAAGAAAGGAAAAAAAAGGACGAAAAATTCGTGCTCGGCCTGGTACTTTTCATCTCTATCTCTATCTCTATCTCTCTCTCTTCATTCGCGGCCCCTGTAGTTTTGTGCCACGCCAAAGAGTGCAATAGAATTTACATTTCTGTCGAATAAAAAAAAAATAAAATAAAAAAAAAATACACGGTATATAGTGTCTGTCAACGCAATGTACAATCTCACGACAGTTTGCTTTCGTAAAAAAAAACGTGTACTATCTGCTGTGGATTCCCAAAGTACTTTTTGTCGATTTTTAATATAACTCTCAAAAAAAAAGAAGAAGAGAAGGAATCGAATTTTTTTTTTAATTTTTTGGTACAATATTGTATTTTTTTGTTTTAAAATTTTTATTTTTATTTCTTTTTCTTTTCTTTCTATGATTTTTCTCTTTCAAACGATATTTTTTTGATTTTATTTTCCCATTTTTATTTTGTTTTATCTTTTTTTTTTTTTATATTTTTTTTAAACTTTTTGTTCGAAATGTATTTTTTTTTCTTTTAGTTTTTTTATGATCGTTTGGCAAAATTTTTAAACTGAAAAATCATTTATTTGAGTTTGAAACAAAATTTTTATCGATTCTTCTCTCTGGATTTTACATTATATACAAAAATAAGTCGACAGAAAATCAGAAGACCCAAAATTTGCTGCGCAAAAATGAATCTCGGGTCAACACATACACAAATAAAATACACACATAAACATACGCATACACATGAAAAAAAAAACCCGTACGACATGTAATCTTTGTATTTCTATTGTTATGATAAATATTATAACTACCGGTTATTATAATATTCCGAGCAAAACAAAATAATCTATAAATATTGTATTGTACGTGGAGATAACAATAAAGTTAAAAAATTATCCTTCGAAATTTGCCTGTATTATTTAATATCCTTTCTCTCATTTTTTTCACGCTCTTTATTTTTTTTTCTTTCTTACTTTTTTTCACACTTTTTCTCACATTTCTCTTTTTTAAAAATAGTGTCAGATAAATTTTAATAAATTTTTACTTATTTTTGTTCTCTTCAAATTTTTTGCTGTTATTTCTTTTTTTTTCATTTCTACATTTCCAAAACTGAATCTCCACATGAAAAACTTTTTCATAATTTTCATTATATTTTTATTTTTCTTTTTTCTCTAAATATCTTGAGGAGCCTTATTTCTTCTTTTTCCATTTCCCTTTTTTCGAAATTAAAACACTACTTTGAGAATTTTCTTCATTAGTTTTATTATTATTTTTATTTTTTAAATTTTTACGAAGGCTTCAAACGTTTTCAGTATTTTTTATAATTTCACTATTTTCAAAACTTTTTTTAATTCTGATAAAAAAATAATTAATAAGCTAATCTCAATTACTAACTACTTAAACATTTTTTTCCTATTTTTGTACTTGAAAAAATTAAATAAAAAAAAATAAATAAAAATAAATGAACAAAAAAAATTAAATTAAATATTTTTCTAAATTTTTTACAGTGACTTCTATTAATTCTTTTTCTAAGTTCACTGTTTCCAAAACTAAATCACTAATTAAAATTTTTGTTCGTTATTTTAATTATTATTATTTTTCGAAACTCTTTGCGATTGCTTCTTTCGAGTTTTTCAGTATTTTCAAAAATATAAATATAAAGAAATAAAAAATTTGGTTATTTTCAAAACTTAATTACTATATGAAAATTTTTTTACATTAATTTGATTCTTATATTTCTCTTAATTTTCTCCGCTGGTTTTTGTCTTTTTTTGCAATTTCATTATTTGCAAAACTAAATCACTATGATAATTGAAAATTTAAATTACTAATAATTGAAAATTTTCTCCATAATTTCCATTATTTTTATTTTCATATTGTTTCCAAAATTTTTGCGGCAGTTTCAATTTTTCTCAAAATTTTTTTTTGTCAATTGAACCGCCGGATCGTAGAAGGGCATATAGCCAATGTAATTCAAATGGGCTATATGCCCTTCTACGATCCGGCGGTTCAATTTCACTATCTATTTATGAAAATTCAATCACTAGTTTGCAAAATTTTTTCCATTTTATTTTAATTGTCATATTTTTTCAATTTTTCTCGATTTTTTTCAGTAATTTTCTCCATTTTTTATTTAAAAACCTTAATCATTAATGGACAATTTTCTTAATTTATTTTTATTATTTCTTACATTTCTTCCAGATCTAAATTTTCGAAACTAAATCACTATCTACTTGAAAATTTTTTTTCATTATTTTAATTAGGTACTTCTTTCGAATTTTTAGCGATGACTTTTCTTTATTTTCTTCAATATTTTCTTCCAAATTTTCTAGTTTTAAAAATTAATCACTAGTTGAAAATTTTCAAAATTGTTTTTATGATTCTATTTTTTCAAAATTCCCTATGGTGACTTATCTCCATTTTATTTCAATTTCGCTATTTCCGTAACTGGACTCATTTTGAAAATTTTCTTTTTTTTTTCTATTATTTACTATTTTCAAATATTTTTTCAAAAAAATTTTTGCGTTGGCTTTTCAAGATTTTTTATATTTTTTCAAACTTTATATTTATTTTCTTTAAATTTCGTTATTTCGTTAACTTATAATTACCTATTTGAAAATTTTTTGCAGTATTTCAATTTTTTTATTCTCATATTTTTTCCAAATTTTCTACGGCAGCTTCTTTCTTCGTTTTTCAATTTACCTATTTTCCAAATTATTATTTTTCATATTTTTTACTGTAGTTTAAATTTCTTTCATTATTTTTGATGATTTATTTTTTATTTACATTTTTCTTCTTTTTATATTTTATTTTGCTAGTACTTTTTTTTTAATTTTACTATTTTAAAACCTTGATCTCTACTTGATAATTTTTTTTCCCTTATTTTTTTTACATAAATACGAAAACTAAGGGAAAAAATTCATGATGTGTAAGTTTTGAAAGTTCGAATAAATAAAAGGTATTGTCCATAGAAATATTTTCTAAAATTTCATAGTAAAATAAAAAAGCAAAAAGAAAATTAAGTAATTAGAAACTTTACATTTTATCATTTTATTTTTTGACGCAAAATTGTTGTAATAAAATTTGACTTTGACTTTCGATATGATTTTGACTTTCACTTTCACTTTAACACTGACATTAATTTTCATTTTCACTTTGACTTTGTCTTTGATTTCGAAAGCCAAATTCAAAGTGAAAATGAA